CTCTTCCCCACCCCCTCCTACAACTAATACTTTTATTAAGATTTTTTATTATAGGTTTCCAACCCTTATGCACCAAAGTAAAAGGTTTTCCAATTATCTGACAAGAAGAATATTACATGTCCCTAGTAATTTAAAAATCTGACTATCAAATAAGTTCCCAAAATTGTTTCTACAACTGTTTTAAATAAAGAGCAGTAAACTGTGCTTTAAAAGGTCACACTCAAACTACTAAGGTATTGTTCTTAAATGAGATTTAGCACATTCTTAAGACTCATGAGATGAGAGATTACCTATGAGGGCAAAAATATAAGCAATGGATACATCATTTCAAAATTTATTTTTATTTTATGTGTATGTCTGTGCACTATGGCATGTAGTATCCACAGAGGCCAGCAGAGGGCGTCAGATGTCCTGGAACAGGAGTTAGAGAGCTCTGTAAACTGGGAACCAAACCCAGATCTTCTTCAGGTATACCCTGTGTTCTCAACCACTGAGCCATCTTTCCAGGCCTCTCATCACTTTTGCTAGTACTATTTACCACATATCATTTCATCTGTGAAAATTAAGTCATAGCCAAACTGATCACTACTTGTTCTTATGTCTCCTTTAGAAAAACACTGTATAATGTTTCAGAATGAAGATCCTTCTTCATTATGGAAATTACTAATTAGTAATGAAAGTAACTGCATTTTATTTGTTAGTATAATTTAATATTTCAAAAATACTCTCTTAGAAAAATTATTAATTATGCATAGAAAAGAATAGATTGTTTTCTACAAATATTTCCTTAACTGGATAAATGTAAAGGTCTAGGGCCTACAAATATGAAGACAGCACCTTTAATCTCAGCCCTTGGGGGCAGAGGAAGGCGGGTCTCCGTGAGTTCGAGACCAGCTAGATCGACAAAGTGAGTTCCAGGACAGCCAAGGCTACATTGAGAAACCAAAAGAAAGTAAACAAATAGATAAATAATAAAAATAAATAAAAATTATATATTGAATATGTGTATTTGTATACATGTATATAGACATTTGCATATGTGTGTATATATGCAGTTTTAAAAACCAGCAGAGAATATGGTTGTGGTAGCACTCAAATGAAATATCAGCACTGGGGCATAGACAGGAAGATCACAAATTTGAGGCTCACCTGGACTACACAGAGAGATGTTTAAAAAAAATAAACTTCAAATAGCTGGATCTGAAAGTAGGCTTTTAAATCTAACTTAGCTATGCAAGTTTTACAAAACTTCAATTTTTTGAGAAAAACTACTCAGCAATATCCATCATGATTTCCTAAGAAAATGAGACTACAGAATTATCATTACATCCAATCAGTGTGCAGTGATTCTTAACAAGACAAAAATAGTATTCCTTTAAACTTAATATTTTATAAAGCATGGAACTCCATAAAACAATATATCTATTAATAATATTCTTCTATTTCTTTGACCATTTTGTTTAATGATTTTTGTCTCATAATTTTTATGAAATCTAACTTAATACATTAAAAATTCTACTAGGTGACTTTTTTTCAGATTTACTTACTTTCATTTTATGTGTGAGTGCTGGCCTGCATGTGTGTAACCATATGCATGCCTTGTGCCTGAATGCTAAAGAGGCTATGAGCTATTCTGAAACTAGCATTCCAGATGGCTGTGATGTGCCCTGAACCACAGCTGTGCCCTCTACAGCAGCAGCAAGTGTTCTTAGCCACTGACCCACCCTCTCAGTACAGTTAGACTGTACTGTACAGACTGCAGCAAGGCGACTTACTTTCTGATTACGATCGCCCAGTCTTCCGTGTAACTCCTTATACAATCTCTAACATGTGGGTCCATCTCACTGTTTCAAAAAACAAAACAAAATACATTTATAATTTAGACAGAAAAGAAATAATTATTTTTTTAAGTAGAACACAAGAGATTTATTAGGAACACTCCCAAAAGGAGTTCCAAGGGAAGAATATAGCAATAAATTTTATCAAATTTTTGCTGCAGTTCTTTTTATAAAAGAAACAAACCTACCACCAAAGTATGACTTAAATACAGTAATGAAAAACTTCCTACAGTTACATTAAAACTGAAACAAGGCAATGTCTCCTTACCTTTCTTCAGGCACAGCTGAAACAAGGGTCCTGCAGTCCCTGGGACTATACACAACTTCAATATCATCTGGAGGGAACTCAACCAAATCTCTCAGAGGCCCAGAGTCCACAGCTAACGGGTGAGTGATGAGGTAATCTTCCAAATCCACAGGATCGACTGCTTCAGTAAGGGGCACCTTAGCGGAGAGGAGTGTGTGCAAAGGAAGAGGTGAATAAATAATCTGACAACTTTAAGCAAAGGAAAAATAAACCCGTTTTTAACCCAGTCCTTTGGGAAGTCTCAGAAGATATTCAGATGCACTGAGAATCACAGCACATGGCCATGAGCTCCCTCACACTTTCTACACACTCTTAATTCTCACACACAGACTCTTCCCATAATTTTCACATTAAAAACAAGAACAATAATTAGCAATCTTGCTAGACTTTACAGCTTGCAGTGTACTGACTAGAATGATTACTGTTATCTCTGGAATTTGTATCATTAAGTTTCTGAAAGCTGCCTTTATTTTATTTGTTGTTATTGGTGACTATCCTAGCAAATATTTTTGACCAGACTGTGTCTAAGTTAAACAATGATGCCCCTAAAACTTCCCACACCCTAATTCATGACCCCTGTGCATGTGAATTAATATTCATGAAAATAAAGTACAGTAAAAGTCCTTACACGTGTTTTTTAACTTTTTAGCCTGAGGTGGAGACGCTGTTCTGCATTATACGCACGAGCTCTACATGAAGTCACCAACATTCACTTAAGGAGAGAAAGGTGATCTGGGCTGTACACACTGAGGAAGCAGCCATGTGAGATGGAGTAAAAAGGCATTTGAAAATTCTAACCTTAAAGGGTAAGTGATGAAGCTTCAGGTAAAGGAATGTCAGGAGCCACCAGAACCAGGAAGTGGCAAGGACTGACTTTCCACCAGAACTACTGCAGGGACAATGACCCTGCCAGATCTTACTTCAGTTCATTTCTGTTGACTTCAGAAGCCCAGGCTCAGGAATGAGTGAGTAAACCTCTGTTGTTTTGAGATATTCAGTTTACAGTCATCTATAATGGCTTAATAATAACCACAGAATATTTGATATTCAGACCCTACTTATATTGCATATTATTAATAATATTCATTGCATTTTATCCTGGCTGAAAATTACTTTTAAAAGATTTTTTTTGAAGTGTGTGTGTGTGTGTGTGTGTGTGTGTGTGTGTGTGTAAAGTGCAGGTGCCCATGGATGCCAGAAGAGGGAATTAGCTCACCTAGAGTTGGGGAGGACTCTGAGACATAATACATGAGTACTAGGAACAGAACTTAGGCTCTCTGCAAGAGCAGTACACCCTCTTAACTACTGACCCATCTCTTCAGCCCTGAAAGTATACTTTGAAATAAGATATCATACTTCTCGAATTCAAGGATGAGGAAAGCATTCAGCCAAAACTGTGAAGGATGTATAATAAATGTGCAGTTTATAGATTCAGTAAAAATAAGAACATGCTATTTCTAAAGATGTTCACCTCCTGGAGAGGATGCCTAAACTGGCTTTCCCCTGTAATCAGATTGATGAGTACCTTAATTGCCATTATAGAACCTTCATCCAGCAACTGATGAAAGCAGATACAGAGATCTACAGCAAAGTACTGGGCTGAACTCCTGGAGTCCAGTCCGAGAGAGGGAGGAGTGATAATATGAGCAAAGAAGTCAAGACCATGATGGGGATACCCACAGAGACAGCTGAGCTGAGCTAGTGGGAGCTCACTGACCCTGGACTGATAGCAGGGGAACCTGCAAAAGACCAAATTAGGCCCTCTGAATGTGGGGGACAGTTGTGAGGCTTGGGCAGTCTGTGGGGCCACAGGCAGTGGGACCAGGATTTATTAGTATGTATTAGTACAGCTACAATCCCAGCACTCTAGAGGCTTGCTCTTACAAATTTAAAGCTGGGGGGGGGGGGGTAGTCATGAAACCCCTCCCCCACAACCAAGTATGAGTTGTGTGGGGCTCAGAAAGAAGGATGAGAAAATATGAGACAAAGGTTTGGATTTGAGGTGATGAAAATGTTGTAAGTGGACTGTGGTGGTATACTAGTGAATTTATTAAATCACACAGAATTTATTCTTTAACGTGATAGATTGTATGGTAGGAGAGCTACAACTCAATGAAGTCATTTATAAAAAGCTGAAACAGAACTTTATCCATTCATAGGAAATAAAGAAGAAACATGTCTACAAGAAAGCAAAGCAACTTTGCTTTCAGAAAGGAAGCAACTTTGACCTAACTTCTAAATGAGCCAATGGTGTGAACACAGTTCAAAATTAGGTGAACAAAAGAGATAAGTACAAGAACAAGGCAAGAATCTCTACTGTCCTAAGATCAAATCCCATCTGCTGATAGTTTCCCAAATTCTGGTCTGAATGAACCGACTATAAAAAAATTAATGAAACCAACAAGGAAACAGCAGGCACCAGACTGGAGATGACAGCAAGACATTACTGCTAACGTGGTTACGTGTGATAATGAAAACGCCAGTGTGGTCAGTACTCTATCTAGTTCAGTGTGTCTGAAGACTTCATGATTAACAAGAACCTTTCCAAAGAGACTGAAAAGAAAAATTGAATCCAGACAGCATTGTACACATCCTTTGAAAGAATACTGCTGCTAAGAAAATTTGGAAAGTGGAGACTGGTAGAAAAGGTGAGGTAACAAAAAACAGAATGTTTAAATGAAAGTAAAGCAAAAAAAAAGTATGAATACTGACAGGCTGAATTAGTAAGTAAGGAACTATCTTTAAGGGAGAATTGTGAAAGTGCTTAAGTCACTGGGATAACCCTTGCTCTTAAGTTTAAACTGAATCAGGTCAACAACGCTGAGCATCTTCTCTAGCCACACTCCTGGCTACAGGGGTACGGTAAGTAGACACCCAGAATTAAACAGCATTGAGGTTGAGCCAAGGGGTGAGATAACATGAAAGAAGGTTAAAGAAATCAAGGAGTAGATGCAACAGAGCAGTTATATGATGCTCAAAAAATAAGTTCTTTGGTGAGAACTGAAGAGGACATCAAAGGACAAGGACAGTAAAAAGTTAGTGGATTTGAGGTGCATGAATCCTCACAGTCAGGAGGATAGCTGGAATCAGGAAACCAGACTGAGAAGACAAGACAAGAGATATAATCGGAACGGGGAGCAGAAAACAGATTGCATGAGCTATAGTTATTCATAAAAACTACTCTGGTGTCTGGCTACAGGATCCTGAATAGCTGATGAAAGATAACATGATGAAAGGCAACGAGCTAAACACACCAACAACATACGTGAAGGACTACCCCCATGCACAATGAAATTGCCCAGAAATCCATGTATGCTAAAGACTTCCCAACCAGCATATTACTGCTCATAAAAGTAAATTCCTGTTTTAAGGTTTAGTAGCACAAACAATTATAACAGGTCAAACTCTTTTTCACACTGGCATATAATGTTTGTTCAATAGTCAGTATGTTTCCTGAGCTACATGTAAAAACTGTAGAACCCCACCTTTTGTGTTTCGTGTTTAAGCTAGTGTCTCACATGTACCATACCCATGCCTCCACCTCCCGTGTGCTCAGAATTCAGGACACAACACCACGCCCAGACACTCCCGTGTGCTCAGATTACAGGATACAACAACACACCCAGACACTCCCGTGTGCTCAGATTACAGGACACAACACCAAGCCCACACTCCAGTGTGCTCAGATTACAGGACACAACACCACGCCCA